CAACTTGTATTCCAATGAGGCTAACTTGTGTTCCAACGAGGCTAACTTGTGTTCCAACGAGGCTAACTTGTGTTCCAATGAGGCTAACTTGTGTTCCAATGAGGCTAACTTGTATTCCAATGAGGCTAACTTGTGTTCCAACGAGGCTAACTTGTGTTCCAGAGGCTAACTTGTATTCCAATGAGGCTAACTTGTGTTCCAATGAGGCTAACTTGTATTCCAATGAGGCTAATTTGTGTTCCAATGAGACTAATTTATGTTCCAATGAGACCAAATAGTTTATGAATGAGGCTAATTGTATTTGAATGAGGTTGATTTGTTTGTGAATAGTGGCTAATTTGTGTATAAATGGTAGCTATTTAAGTTTTAATACATCAAACTTTTCAGTATATATAATTAACATATCAATGACTTAATGTTTTTAAGAAAAGTATGAACACATTTCTCGAATTGCAAAACAATGACTCCTTAATTGCAGTGAATTGCTGACTAGGGATTCCTTAGTCAGCTGTTATAAATATATTGATAAATTAGCCTAAATAATGGACAGTCAATCAGTGACATGTACAATTATAATTACCAAGATTTATTACCTGTTTATTAGACGACACACTAAGATATAATACTAAGGCCATGCAGTAAGAGCACATTGACTTTGAACAACCAGACTTTGAAGAGTAACTCAAAAAGATGTACACACATTTATATACATACCTGTGTGATTTTTTCAAGGTCATGTCCAAGTTTAATATTAATAACGTCATTAACAAGTGATTGATATAATGGAGCTCGAACTGCGCAATAATTATCACCACGGATTATCCTTAGATAGTCGCATTCTAATAGCGAAAGTATCTTTCCATATCCCTAAATACATCAAACACACAGAATTAAAAACTATTCTTAAATTTGCAGCAAATTTTAACCATTTAAAAATAAATATTTTACACTGTAAAAAACTGTATTTCCACTTAGAATCTATTTTTGTTAATTTCGCAGTAGAGATGACTCAGTGGAATTAATATCCAGCAAATATACCCTTTTTACTACATTCAACTCATCAAAAATCACCCAAAAAATCTTTACAGCGAAAATGGATTCCAGCTAAAATAAAGTACTGTATTTAACAGTGCACATGTATCTGGTCAGCATTTTCAGTTACAAGTAAACACAATGTTTCAAAGACAGAATTGCACAGAATATTAAAGTTCCATAATCATTACCACACAAGTGTTGAATATTAGTCATAAGCATTCTACTCATGTGCAATAATTTGTTCATACAAATATAAACATGCACTGTATGGTGAATCACACTGCAACTGGCATGTTAATTTTAAAGAGAGCTGTATTGCCTGGGATATTATTACAGTTTAGCCAAAGATCTGGTATACTTGTGTTGACTTGTAATGTCTCGTGTCACAGTCCTTTTATCATCTCTGTGCTTGTGTTAGCAAGCAGTAAACAATAGCCTAGTCCGCCCACAACAACATGTCACTGAATACCACCCAAGTTGTTAATGCTCTGTTCATTACTAAAAGATATCAATATTAAGCAGCAGAATAATCCCCGAAGATAATCGCGGATTGCTGATATACATTGCATGAAACAAGTTTAAATCAGTATTGGGAGAAACTGTATGTTCATTCTAAATAGCCAACCAATAACAGACAATTAATAGTAATTTAAGTCAATGTCTGACATGACATATAGATGATGTGCCCCATTACGCCATCTAGGCTACCCAAAGGTTGAGATTTCCTACACAATTAGGTCAGAGAACTTTGCAGAGAGAGAGAGACCAATCTGGGGCAGGGTACAAGTGGTAATAAACATTAGTTGTCTGTATCATCATTGCCACCTCCATATCTAAACACTGTGTGTATAATTTAAAACCTCTGACAGAAGAAAATTACACAAATCTTGATGCTGGGCATATCCTAGACAAGGTTTAAGATACATGTGTTCACACAGTACATGTACTGAGGTACTGGGAAAGGAGAAATAGTCACTGAGATAAAATGTATTCCAAGTTGCATGGTTTTAAGTTCAATATTTTGTGACAGAACCAATACATTGTGGGGGGAAAAGCAATATTCTCTGGGTTTTAATTAATCTAACATATTCAGGAATCAACATTTACTGTAGAGTACTGGTACTTTATTTTTGCTTGGAATTAATTTTTGCTATTTTCGCTGAAGACATAATTCAGTGAAAATAAAATCCAGCGAATATGTTTTTTTTCCTATATTTTACATTCAACTCATCAGGAATCAGTGAAAATAAAATCCATACAAAACACCCAAAAAGCGAAAATTTATTCAAGCTAAAATAAAGTAAACAATAAATGCAAGAATAATATTGGTCAAATAATTAAGCATTTTCACAGAAATATCTTGTTAAGTGATAGGATGCATGAAAGAGGATGCATGAAAGAGATAAGTAAATCATGTTTTATGAGAAGTAACATTGTAATATTTCAAATAAAGTCTTGTCCTTAAGATTGACGTGAGTGATAAGAAGTTGCATGGTGTTACACTTACCTTTCTCATAGCGTTGGCATTAACAGTGTTTCCTTTCCATTCTGTTGTCACATAATGTGAGATTCGTTTTTTGTCACTAATGTTTGTAGATACCTGACTGGCAGTCCACCTCTGGCTGCATTGCAATTCTCTGCAAGTATAAAGGCAATAGGACATTGTACTGCAGTATTTAATAGTTAATAATTTTGACACATTTTGTAATAAAATGCATGTTTTTTTTCGTGATAAAAAATGTCTGTAATAAATACACATTTTGTAATTACTAGTCCATTAAACGTATTTTTAAAACAAAAATTATGTTTATGTATTTTGTAATAGCCATCCACGCGTTCTGTAAAATAGTTAGATATGCATCATTTCAATAAATTAGTTAATGTAGATAAAAACAAATACACAGTTTGTTTAACTAACATGCTTTTTTTTTTTGCATATTATACATTATACCCCAGACGTCTGAGCTCTAGTCGGACAATTTATTTTATTTTCTGAACTATAAATAAGTTACAGTAAAGATGCAGGTTAGCAAGTATTCTGAGGATTATATATCCACACTGTTGACATTAATATTATATTACTGGTATGAACGCTAAAACAAGAAAAAAACGCTGCTAATTTTGCAAAAAAAAACATGTATTTGAAGTTCAAAAAACAATGACTGATTTGCAATGTAATATATGATGCTTTACAAGACTTTTCCTGTTTTTCACATGTTGAAAAGATTCCAATTTCAATAGATACAAGCTTCAACAAGTTTTGGGTTGTTTTCTGTGAAACTTTCGCACCATATCTGTCGTGCGCGTGTACAGTTTTTTAATATTGAGTTTTTTTTTGTATGTCCTTTTCATGCCTGATGACAAATACACGGACGCACATTCAAATCACTCCCATAACTAGTCTCTTAAGAGAGCTTTTTTCACTCTCCATCCCTTTTCAAAAGGCAAGGCCTGTATTTACAATCTCCCCATTTACAATCTCTATAAAAAAAGGGGGGGGGCAAAACAATTCAGTATTAACAGTGGGCTGTGGCTAACTATGTTGCTGTACATAAATATATGAAATGGTTTGTTCTTATTTTCTGACTTAGATATTAGAAACTTACCAGTAGAGTCTGCACCGTCTCTTCCATACATGCGTGTATCTTTATTCATTTTTAACACTGGATTACTTGAAACATTCATCACTTTAGACTGTGCAAAAGACTGGCTCTGCACGTGTGAACTTGTTACTGCAACAGGCTGGCTCTGCACGTGTGAATTTGTTACTGCAACAGGCTGGCTCTGAACTTCTAAACTTGTTACTGCAAGAGACTGGGTCTGCATGGGTGAACGTGTTACTGCAACAGGCTGGCTCTGAACTTCTGAACTTGTTGCTGCAAGAGACTGGGTCTGCATGGGTGAACGTGTTACTGCAACTGGCTGGGTCTGCATTGGTGAAATTTTTACTGCAACAGACTGGTTCTGCACGGGTGTACTTGTGACTGCAACAGGCTGGGTCTGCACATGTGAACTTGATACTGCAACAGACTGGGACTGAATGGATGAACTTGTTACTAACGATTTATTCCCTTTATAATTTGGAGTTAAACTTGATTGGGGTTGATCCTTAGTGTCCCATGATATGCTAGTATGAGATGAAACTGGACTGAGAAAAAAATGACGCATCGATCGAGGAAAATTAAACTGATCATCTGTACTCTTTTTACTGGTATACGCCCCAGGAGAGAGGTTCAATTGTTCAATGGCGTCAAGATCAGTTGCCTTCACACCACCTGTTATTGCTTTCTTTCTTGGCAGTGTTCCATAGAGTGAAGCAGTTTTTCTTTTTTGCTTCATTTCATCTGGCGTCACATAGGAATCAGTCCGTTTTTGAAAAGACGAGCTCGATGCAACAACATTTGGCACACTCCTGTTTAATTTTTCAGCTAGTTTTTGGTCCCTGACGTTGATTTGACCTGACAAGTCCATAATCTGTGATGGAGTGTTCCTTGTTCTGTTATCAAGTGAGTTCGCACGCCGACTTGACTTTCCATATTTATCAATGGGAGTGGGTTGCTGAGAACTGGCAGGAGAGCTGCACAATGACTGAGTGGTAATGGGCTTAGGGGAGTTGTGAATTACAACATCTAGGTCTGTCTCTCGAACAGTACTAAACTTCACAGATTGTGTTGTCTCTACTTTTACACTTGACACATTTGATTTTGTCTTTTCTGTTGATGCCACTCCCCTTGCTTTCATAGATTTATCTGCAGATACACCATTGTCTATTCCAACCCCATGTCTACTATTTGTTACCACACTTTTCCCAGATTTACCATGAGAAACAGTAATTCCATTTCCCTGTTCAACAGTAGCAACATCTTTTATTTTCTGACCAGTGTCGTATTTCTGTAATTCCTCTGCCACTTTTGGTGTATCCACCAAAACAAAGCTGTCCATCCCTGAACTAACATCGCTTGGTTTCACTGGCGTATTACATACATCTTTTTTAGAACCTACCTCTTTATTTTTTTGTGCAGCTGCATTCTTCTGTCTCCTCCAAGTGCGGTAATGTTTTGGAGACCCCTCATAGTTCAGGATTTCAAACTCATCACAGCTGGTCATACTATTATTTAAACTAGACATTCTACTAGAACTCATGGACATATTCCCTAAATTCCCGAATGAAGACGCTTTTTCAGGCGTGTCGATCACCTCATAGCTCCCTGATAAAGAAGATTTCGGCTTGAACTGTATTTTATTTCCTTTACTTTTTAATTTGCCTTGCTTGTTCAAAGAATCAAAGCTGATGTCTGAGTGAGTCGCACTAACCACAGAGTCATTAAATGCACTACTTGTCTCATCATCTTGGTGGGTTTTACTTAGAGCCTGACCCATTGTTATAGTTGGTCAGTTGCTAGGTCCAGTCAGAATTCTTGCCAATATGCGTGGAAGCTGGGGACAGATAGTAACTCAATGGCCTGCAAACAAAATGCAAAAACAAAAATTAGAATATTTAACAAAAGAAATGCAGGGTTCTCCCTAGGCATTATAAATTAGGGATCCCAACTCTCTTTTAATAAACAATAGAGCTAAATTATCTTTAAAATGAATACAACATATTCTATTGTTAAGCAAATTGATTGATGTGCTAAACTGTTTCACAAGTCAGGAAAACTTTAAAAATGTGTTGCATTGAACATTTCATTTTGAATTTTTAAGACAGTGAGTCACAGAGACTTGGATGAAATTTTATTCCAATAAAATGTCATCAAATATCAAATCAACAATTTTATTACCAGCAAAAAGAAATAAAAAAAGTTTTACAGTATTTATTGTGTCATCATCTACATCTAGAATTAGATCAAAGAATATTGCTTGCTACATTTACATGTAAGTGATCAGTCATAAATTACTGAATGCCAAGATCTCCAGTGGTGTTTTGAAGACAGTCACACCCTATTACTCATGTGCTGTCTCCTCTCATGTCATCAAGTTTGCATACTGTAATGTATTTGCTCTATTAGAAGGGAATCTTCAATAGAAACACATATAAAATTCTAATTATTCAAAGCTGATTCATTCAAACCACTGGACCAAACATTGGTACTTGCTTTTAATCTAAATACCAAAATGATATGTAAATAGCACAAATGTATTGAACGCAGAAAAGAAAATCATGTTGTAATTTTTACTTGTCACTAAAATCAATGTCTTTACTACCGTCACACATACATTTAACAACACGTCTGCCGACAAATTTGTTAGTGATTTAGCGATGTTGCCTTCAGATAAACATTCAACACCTGCTTTCAAATTTAGAACATCACTTGCATTATTTCTTCCCATCAGAAGAGACAAGCATGTCATGAAAGATACCATCATTTTGAGGTTTAAACCACTTACTTTGTTATACAATAAAAAACAGTTGTTTACACAGATAAAACATGTTCTTAGTATTTAATTTTGCAAGTACATTTCGTTCTGAAATTTCTACATACTAGTCCTTCCATACACACAGTGCATATAAGCCCAATAGGATATTCCGAAAACATTTTGGTGCAAAGTTTTACATTCAAGATGGCATGGTAATACCTTAATTGCTATAACACGTGCTTGTGAAGGTAATATCACAATTTGTTGCCTGGCCAAGGGATGGTGGTCATGACTATAATATTGATGATGCCTGAGCCGAAGGCATTGTTTGCTGAAAAAAACAGTGAAATACACTTAGTAAATGTTATTTTCAGCCACGGATACTCGTTTTAGTAATTGTGTTTCAGCAGTGTGAATCACTCAATTTACCAAGAATACCGGGTAACATTTTTGAAATGACTTGCGAAATTCTCAAACGCATGTTATTTGATCATTCTTCGGATAAAAATGTCTGAGTGCCGTGGAAGTGACTGAAATTACTTTCTCACTGAAGTACCACTCCATCTATTCACAAGTCACACAGCTTTAGAGCGTTTTTGCTTAGCATCGGCTGGAACGCGTAGAAATGCTCACAGTGTAGAACGCGCCGCAACGACTCCAATATAAAAAATACCCTAAACATCAAAACAGAGTATCTTACTTAATATCCATTATGGCATGTTTGGATGGCTAAAGTTCCTGTTAAAGATCAAGCATACAGTTAATTTATTACAGCATGGAGCTAAAAGTATCTTTTTTATTTCCTGATTAGATACACACTTATAATAGCACAAACCGATAAGGGCTGGAGGAATCCTTCAGTCCCCATTTAAGCACAGACCTAAGATGCAATAACACACTATATGACCACTATATTGGTCTTCTGTTTATGTTCATTTCTTGTCAGAGAAATGCCAGAAGCTATTTAGTATTTGCTAATAAACACACATAGAAAACAGGAAATGAAACAGGACGTAACTTATTGAATTGTTAATTGGATTTCAGGATCACAACCCACGCACAATGTATAAAATACACCATTGATAGCATAAACTGTCTGTCGTTCATGACGTACAGAGGGTGGTGCGTACGTGTTATTTTTGTCCAGGGAGTGAACAGGTTAAAACAGTACAGGGCTGACACTTGCCCTTTGTACAATGTCCACTATGAAGTCCCCGGCGGAAACGATCACCGGGAAATCCCCTCAAAACAAAGACCCAAATTGATTAAAATCAGCTCAATCCCAAACCAGAAACCACCTGACACTTCTCTGGTTTAACGATATCGTTATTACACATACCTTGTCAGATAAGGACGGGTCATTTCGACCCAACTTCCTCTACACCGGTGTCATGTAACGTAACACCGTCGAACCCCGACAAGGAGTCTGTCTGGATACGACAATGTCGGTCTCATTCAACACAAACATGCTCAGAACAGAACAATATCACTAGCTTTGCCGAAACTAATTACTTACCCAAACCTTAAGGTTCATGAACCAGAGTAACTGCGATCACAGCGTAGTTTTGCGAGAAACACGCGTAGAGTGTTTTTTGTACGAAAATCTTGAACGAGAGTATCGAACATTACGAACAGATCAGCTTGTCCGCCATGTTTTTTTTCTCCTGAATTCCACAGGAAAAATAGAACTTCCGGTTCATCCAAATGACGTCATTGCCACCGATGCGTAACTGGCTGATCACCACTGTGGTTGACCAAACACTTGGAATTCCTCCGATAAAATTGAAGTAACTACAATAATAAATACCAGTAATATAATAAAATAAAAAAAATAGAAAACAACTAATCGAAAAATATGGGAAACTAACAAACACTTATTGGTCAGATATTAAATTATTGGACCAGACAGACAACAAATAAACAAAGTATTTTACACGCGTTGTATACGTCGCTATGAGACCCATTATCGAACAGGACGCGGTGCGACGACCACCGCCCTATGACCGCCATATAATATAGGAGATGAAATACAATAAATAGACCAATCTGTACTAATACAACTTATTGAATGCTAACGCCACCAACGGCAAAACTTGTGAATGTACCAAAAAGCAGAAGAAGGCCGCGCAGTGCGTTGTAGACACTCCCCCCATGGGATAATGATCCCATGCGCGTGCGCGTCTGGCTCACAACTTGGCCGTCAGCAACCAGACAACAGAGGTGCGAGGAGAAAGTTTATTGTTTATGAATTATTTAATAATTAGTTGGCATGTGAGAGATTGCATTTGTAGTAGTATTGCATCGTCCGCCTGCACGGTGTTGTTCCGCTCGGACATTCCTCCCTCCACAACGATAGTGGAGTGCTTTGCCGGAACATTCACCTTGAAAATTCAAGATGTATTATTGTTGCATACCACAGCAGCAAAAAGTACTGTCATCTGAAGTGATGGAACTTCATAGTAGTGTGTATAATTTGTGCACAGAATTTTATACCAAATTGCTTTTCATTCGTTTATCAGCCTACAAGTTGAGGAGCATAACGTGGAGATTTATATTAATCAGTTACTGCTAATTAAAATGTATGAATAATAGCATGGAATAATAGTGCTTATGCCACAGAGTTAATTCGATGCTTGGTTTGAGAAAACTGTGTTATTTAATTTGCCATATATATATTTATATATACGGTAATA